AAGAAAGCAGGCTTCCGCGGAAGAGCTGTCATTCGTCTTCAGCAGGAACTGTCTCCTCAATGCAGCTGTTCGCGGGTGCAGGCCCAAACGTGGGGCGACGATTCCGATGCTGTGCCAATCCGCAGCGGCTGTCTTGTGGATTCTTTGCCGGGGCCGTTCGGGTACGAGCATCATCTTTGCAAAGAGACCTTTGTAATTGGAGGCCTGGATCCAGCCTGAGAATGCACAAGCAGCACCAAAAGAAGAGGCGCAGGCGCATCTGCCTCTGTCACGCAGTGCCCGCGAGGCATACAAGCTTCTCTGTTCGGCCAGGAACCGTGGCCAAGGTGTTGTTACTCCTCTGCTAGCTTCCTCTCCCTGGAGCGGCAGCTATTCAAGGACTCCCTGTCATGCACCCTCTTAGCCTCGCATGCATCGCAGCCGACTTATGTGGGCAAAACATTTGTACCGGCACAAAGCGAGGACCTACGCAATGGGGCTAAAAGCACAGAGCCTAGCAGGCTTGGCGGCTGCCGTTTGTGTTACACATGGGCTGTCATGCACTTCCCTGCAAAGGTTGAGGACATGCCCCAAGCCTGAACGCATAGATGGATTTACACCTCAAGTGTGTTTTTGTTTCACGCCTGTTGTGTTTTTTTGCTCCTGAATGCAAGTTGTATATTCCAATGCCTGCTGAGTGGCCGCCCAAGAAGAAAATTGCTTTGCCAGGTCTGGTGTACCGACCCAAGAGGAGGAAAAGGCTCTTGTTCTTTGCAAGCTTTAAGGAGGAATCAGTTAAGGCCAGATGCAGTAGGGGTCAGGGTTTTGACGAAGGGATTGGGAAGGAGGGCAGCAGCGGCGACAGCTTTGCCAGTGCGGATGACGGACTGCTGCGGCCTGAGATTCCATGCTCCCCCCCTGTTAGCATGTAGCACCTTGGCGGCATTGTCACAGGACGCAAAGTTGTAGCATCCGCTGCAACCGTGGCTGTGGGGTGTTACAGGCTTGATTTCGGAAGCAACGTGTTCAACATCGGACTTCGAGTAACATGGCCAGCCCGAGTTCACTGCTACACAAAGAACCATTGACTCTACAGCATTCGGTTGCGAAGTTCGCCGCGACTGTGCGATGTGAGGCTTGAGCTCTGGGACCTCTGTGGGGTCAGTGAGGGCCCTGTGGTGTCAGCGGCTCAGAGACTCAGAACTGAACCCGATGTTATCATCAGTATGATTGACAATTAGTCTTGCGTAAAGTTCATGTCATGTACACCTGATAACATACCTGCAACCTTGAAGAGCTTGAGGTCGGACGTCGAGCAGCCAGAGGGCCTGGATCTGACCGAGATTCGGGCTGCCCCCGTCTCAGAGCATCGCCCTTGCAGACCCAGCAAGCTCATTTGGCATTGCCATGAGGCTGCCACGGAGATGTTGGGGATCAATGTCAAAACGTGGGACACACAGATCACTCTTGTGTGGCCGCCTGGAGTCGACGAGCAATATCAGACTCAGACACTGGACATGGCTTGTGGCTTGGATCTGAGGAAGGGTAGCGGCAAGCGTCTTCGTGAATCGCGAGACCGTCTCATAACATGTGCCCACGCCTTTCCGCCCTCTGCGCAGCGCTGCCATGACAAAGTGTGTCAGATGTCAGGTCAGGTCCATGCCAGATGGCCCGCTCCGAGCGGGAAGCCCAAGCGTTTGCGAACATGCCTTTTGCGGGCAAGAAGACCTGTTCAGGAGCCGCTTTTGGAGCGTTTGCATGAGATGGGCAGCAAGCTTTCTGCCCGAAGCCAGGCGGGCTTGCTGCGGGTTCGTTTCTTCCGAGAAGCGTAGGCTGTGAATGTCGCAAGGCATCCTGGCAGCCGCAGCTCAGACAGGCCAAGTTCAGCTGCGAACCTTCGAATTGGACCCCCAGCTTTCTGCGACTGGCAGGTTGTGGAGATGCTGAGCTAAAGGCTACAAGCATTAGGGGACTTGGGTATAGTGAGGACCCCCGTTGCAGAACAGAGGTCCCACTTTAAATTTCACTATGTCGTTGTAGCCGAGGGTTGGAAGAGCTGGTGATTTGCCGCTCGCACAAGCTTGTACAGAGTGAAATTGGCTTGCAGCCCCAGTGACAAAAGGAGTCACTTCCGCATCTCACGTGTTCGATCATGACCTGCTGAAAGCTGATCCTGCACACAATGCCGTGCCAGCTTCTCACAAGCTCTTGTGTGCGTTGTAATTACGTGTTGCGGAGGCTGTTGTCACGCAGCTCTATGAGCCGAGGTTTATGAGCCCACGAATTCCAACCACACAGCTTCAATCTCATCGCAGGACATAATGCGAACCCCGAGCGCGAGCCGCGCCCTGGCTATCCTACTGCAAAGTCTTACCATCGTCAGCTGAAGTCCGAAGTGCGTCGAGCATGGCGGTTGTCGCTGATGCAGCAATTGGGAATGACAAGGCCGCTTGGTGAAGTAGTGAAAGGCATAGAACAGAAATAGATGGAGCAGCGAGGAGCATGAAGCCTCAGTACCGATGGCCGCATCATGCTCCAAAGGTGGCCTCGCAAGAACCCAACTGCGACCTGGAGTTGTTGCAAGAATTAGTGGGACCAACTGGCGCTTGGCGAAGTTGGAGCTCCCAGCCCCGTGCTCATTGCCATTGCAGCAGACAGAGGAACGCAGCGAGAGCCGAGTCGCCCGGCAAGGTTACACCATCACGATCCGGGCTTGGCTCAAGCGCTGGGCGCCTTCATCAGGCAGCCCTCTTTCACGAGCCACACAAGGCTCAAAGCCGTAGCCATAGCTGGTTGCATGATGCAGGTACCAGAAGCCAAAGAAGGTCATTGACATGGGCTGCGGCTCCGGCTTCTACGTGCGGGCATTGCGCGCGCGTGAAGTAGACTGCGATGGGCGCGGGTCTTGGCAAGTGCCCGCCGGCTCGAGCTCCACCTGTTCACTGCCTAGGTTTGACGGGCACGAAGACACTGAGACTTTGACTGGCGGTCTCTGCTACTGCGCCGATTTCGCCTTTCTGGCATGGTGTTTAGCTGCTGCTGGTGTGTGTGTGTGTGTGTGTGCGTGTGTGTGTGTGTGTGTGTGGGGCTCGAAATGCGGCATCTACAGGAATCGATGCCCCTCGGTAAGATTGGAAAGCCAGCGACCGCAACAGCTGTACTTCGTTCGATACCAAGGGGCTCGTTGTAGTGGTAATTGCTGCGAACACCGGTACTGAAACTTGAAGGGGTTTAGGATTCGCTGCGAGATTGGCAACACAATGGCGAACTTTAGCTCTAAGGTTGAAACCATGGGCCCCCAGTATGGACCCTGAACCCTGGGATCCTTATATACCTACGATATACGCCCTATGTATCCTTAAGTGTCCCTATACAATCCCCTAAAAGGCCTAAAAGCCTCAGGGTCCATATTAGGAACCCATACTTCTAACCTCATTCGCAGTGATTGAAATTAGGACTACTGCCACTATGAACCTCAACAAAAAGGGCCCAACGCAGGCAAGCCACGGCTTTCCCAATATTCAGACCACTCTCTTGAAGAGGGCTTAGTCTTGGGATCCCTCTTCTAATCCCTACAATTTCCACGAATTTCCATCTGGTGAGACTTGCAGGCAGACCCCGAGCTGCCGCTGAAGATTACCTCCGAAGGCACCAGCCAAGCCGGAAGCCGGTGAACACACATGTCTGAATCATACTCCTGTAAATATGTAGGCAGATGTATGCTATTATAACATCATGTATTACTATAAGTTTGTGAGATATGAACCTAGACAGTATGTGCATGCGTGTGAATATGTGTATCTGGGTATCTATGTATTCATGTGCCTATGTACCTACCTATATGTATGTATGCATGAATGAATGAATGAATGAATGTATGTATGTATGTATGCATGTTATACACGTGGCAGCCGGCCCCCATTGTGGCCCTCTTGGCTATGAGCCATATGTTGTGTCTTTTTGACAGCTTGCAAGACCGCGCCCTATCGTTTTGGTTCACCCCGTCGGCCAGCCTGGCGGCAGGATACGACTGGTGCATCTGTCTCGAAGTCTTCGAGCACGTGCCCAGAGCTCAGCGTGCAGCATTTTCGGCTCATCCTGTGCCCCGTCGGGCCGGGTTTCCGAGGCCTAAAGATCTGGAGGACAAGCTGGCAGGGAGCCGAATGCCAATGTTAGAGGGAATCCTTTAGAGTTTTCGGCGATGGTGCAAGGTGGATTGCCTCGTGGCCGGATCCGGAAAGGGCTTGGTGCTGTCTGTTGCGACTCCTGGCCAAGGAGGCTCCTTACGAAACCGAGGGCTGGTAGTGGAGTTCCTTCTGTTGAGACGTCCAGTTGCCCCTCCAAATCCTCGAAGCAGGTCTCGGCCACGTGAACGAGCAGCCACACGAGTACGTTGTTCGACGCCTGGAGGAAGCGGCAACAGGAGAGAGTTTGTAGACCAAGCCTTACATGCCGGCTGGGAGGAGAGAGGCCTCGTCTTGGATCCCAATTCCCACCTGAGGCCTGGAATTCGGCTTTTAATGGCTCCGAAATGCGCTGCCCGGATTGCTGAGGCTCCGGCAGTACTGTCAGCTTCCCTGGTTCAGGGAAAACCTGCCCCAGCCCAAGTGTTCAGATGGAGAGTATATGCCTTGTGCTTCAAACTTCAAAGGCTCTCTGGAATGCACCGTCAGGCTGGTGTTTCGGAAGCCAGACTCAGCAGACAGATGCTCGGACCCATCTTGAGCGATCGCTATGGCTGTGCGCCAAAATACTGCGCGCACTAGACGGCGCAGTTCCGGTAGTATTGCATGTAATTGCGTGGATGCTTGCCACGAACTGGCTGCAATGATCCACTAATGGCTGATGCAGCCTCCTGCAGGATGCTCGAGTGCGCAGATGATGGTACCAGGTAAGCAGGTAAGCTTGCTTCTACTGGGAGTGATTACGTGAGCATGAGTACATACTGTTCAGCAGGTAGTGCAGGCGTAGTTACTGGCACGTTGTCGTTGTGTTACCTCTAACTCCGCCTGTCCCACGCCATGGCGCCCCTCGCTGAGGTTGGAGTCTTAGGAGTCTGGGGCCTTTCACTTCGAGCCACCCGCCGAATTGGGGTGTCGGGCCAGGGCTGCAGATCGCACCAGTTAAACTGTGAGACTTGCAACTTGCAGATGCGCCTCTTTCCAGCAGTGAGGCATTTGCCCTCGGAGTGTCTCCACCCTGCCTGCCTTCATCCAGGCCTTGATGCCCTGCCTGGGAGAAGGAGAATGAGAACATATCATAACAAAAATTGCTGTAACTTGCGCTTTCATCGATGGGGCGCACAGGCATAATGGCAACTAGCAACCATTGCTTTCATGTCTCTTAAAGCAGGGCCGTTTTGCCAGGCTCGCCTCAAAGCCTAGGCGGACAATGCACGAAGCTTCGGAGCCAGGCGAGAGGGAGAGGGCTCGCGAGATTGCCAGAGCTGCGAGCCGAGAGCCGAGGCATGCTGCCGTCGGCCCTCTCAGCAGCACCATTCCTGGTGGCGGGCGCTGTGGTCCAGCGCAAGATCCAGGTCTTCGCTGGAGTTGCTCGTCGGAGGTGCGGGATGCACAAGCCTGGGCAGCATGGGGACTTCTGTATCTTGCACAAGCAAAGACCCCGGTCTGCACCTGGACCTCAGATGAGCCGATGCTCGAAGACTGCCAGGCGGATGGCAAGCGCTGGGGCGGCCGTCGCCATGAGGGCAAGGGGCCTTGCCATGAGCACTTGAAATTGCGCATCTAAGAACTGAGAGAGGTCTTAAGATGGGTATGGAACATGATTGCGCTACCACCACCGCGGCGGCTTCCAATGTGTCCGATGTCACCATGACACCATCACCATGTTGCTCGTGTCAAGACGGAAGGATGCACACCCAATCCACTCTTGAGAGACATCTGATCCGCTGGCATGCGGAGACTGGCAAGAATTTCGATCAGGTGACGCCGCAGGAAGAGCCGAACGTGGCACAAGAGGCCGAAGCTACTCAGGCAGCTGTCGCAACAGCAGCCGGGGCTTTTATGACGAGTGAGGAGCGACCATGCGCTGCAGGAAACGCCCCCCACTCCTGGCACGGACGACAACAGAGCCTGGGCTGGCCGAATACATGCCGTAGAGCTTGTGCAGGATTGAAGAGGCGTGAAGAGGCGCAGCTCCAACGAGGTGCTGCTTTGTCCCAGCGGCTGCGGCAGCGGCTCGCTTCTACAATTGCGGACCAGGAGGCCCAAGTGGAGGCGTGGAGACCGTGGAGGTCTGAAGAGTTCTCCGGCAAGCGATCATTGAAATACAGTCTTCAGAATAGGCTTGACTCAAGCTTCCTACCCGGCCTGTCCATGAGCGCAGCATTTCGTACACATGGCTGCAGGCTGTGCCAACCGAGGATCAGAAGCGGATTGCATTCCTGACATGTTGGCTACCATGTTTACCGTTTGCAGATACTGCAGTCTTGTGGAGAGGATGCTATCGCTTGGCAGGTTCAGCAGGAGGTGGACCTGAATGGTATCGATCCGACAGCCACGGGCTTGGCAAGCGCGAAGTAGAACTACCGTCTCTGCAGCGGTTGTCCCGCGAGGCCTGCTTTGTAGGGGCAGCGCCTGTCGCTGCGTTGAGCTACGGCTTCTGGACCTTCACGTCGCGATCGGCCGCACTTTGACTGCACAATAGTACCGCCGGTCGGCTATAGTCATGTCTCCTTAGACTTAGAGTCAGTTTGTCCGACTTCCTGATGGTTTGATTGCTGGCTTGCGAACTTTGCAGCAACTTACTTTTAGGGCTGTGATCGATGCGAGGAGTGGTTCTACAATCACCCAGTGGTGCGCCCTCGGCAAATTCGCCACAAACCGTAAGCGAAGCCCTAAGACCGCACCATCTGCGCTGACAGGAGAGCGATTTCTACCCCGTTCAGCGGCTGGGGCGCCTCTGCTGACATGGATCCTCCTGACGGTGCTGCCTTAGCCAACTCTTCCTCGTGAACTTCTCGTGATGTTTCCAGGTTTGTCTTCCAAGCCGCCGTGGTCGGTCTGGGTGCCGAGATGCTGGCGGGTATGAAGCTGCGTCCTGTGGCGGTAGGGTTGCCCGCTGTGATAACCTATGGACGTCCCTGCGCATATAGGCAGATGGATGGAGCTGCCTTCTTTAATTAATGGGCTAGCTTCCTAAAAAGGGCTCAACCCTGATCGAGCGTGTTTGTTTTGTCAATGCGTGGGCATTGAGGCCTGAGCTCCCTAGCTTCTGGCATCTTCGGCTTCACAGCCTTGGGCATTTTCTTGCTGGGTGCTGCGCTGAGGGGCTCACCCCCAAGTCCCTTTTCGTGCACTGGAGTTCTGAGGCGTGCGAGTCAGCATTGGTGCCGGGGCCTCAGAATGTGCAAGAGACGGGAGTTGGCCTTGCGGACGAAGCAGAGAAGCGATTGCCTTCCCTGGCAATCTCTCTCTTCTCGGCTCCAGTGTTGCGTGTGAGGTGTTGTCTGGTGAATTGGATCCGGCAGACAAAAGCAAAGGGCTAGGCGCGACCGGACTTCGACAGCAGGACAGGGCTTGTCCGTGTCGGGGCAGGAAAACGGTCCACGGCTGAAACTGCATGGGCCCTGGCAGCCATTCGACTGTTGCCGTTGTGCTTCGGTGGGTCTCGCATGGTCTCGTGGGAAGTTCCGTTTCGCCGTTGTTTCCGAACAGACGCGTCCTTCAGAATCAGCTGGCAAGTAGTCTCCTTGTTGATGGGCTTGTCATGACTTGTCCCAGTTGATTCCCAGGTCTTGGATGTGTTCACCAAAGATCCAGTGGAGGCAGGAAGTGGCTGGCCGTTCGACCTCAGAGGCGCTTTTTTTCGGCCGTCAGGTCGTGAAGGCTGAGAAGGAGCGAAAGAAAGCAGAGCAGCTCCTCGGCCTGCAATCCGCATGCTTTTCCGCATCATGTCTGCACTGTGCAGCAGAATTGCCAGTCCCTGCCTTGGGTTTGACACTCGCATGGCACCTCGCCCTGGTTCAGGTTGAGGAGGGATGCTGCAGCATAGCGGCTCTGCGCATGAGGAAAGAGCTTCTGCATCGCAAGGGCCCCCGGAATGTGGAAGCGCGCAATGCTTACTCGTACCACCAGCTTATCCGTGATGGAAGATGGGCTCAAAGCTAGCCTCGGATTAAAAAGGGAGTGGACTTAGACCGCCGGCTGGGGCTTGGCTTCATGGAGGCATGTGGAAGGCATCTTCATGCAGGCCTGGCAGGCCTGAAGCTGAAGCAGAAGGCAACAGGAGCTAATGGACAGCGCTGGCGACAGTCAGCGACCTCTGGTGACCTGAGAAGAGGGTCGGGCTTCGCCTTGATCCCGAGATGTTTCATGGCAGCCAAGCTTTCCAAACGATGCACAAGGAAAAGCCAAAATGATGCGAGAAGAGAGCCAAATCAGCGAAGTCGAAAGTGTCCTGGGCTGTGGTGGGCATGCGTTGCCGCATTGCCAGGGAGCTTTCAGTATGGCTGGGCCTTGTCAGTGATCAATGTGCCGCAGAGCAGTATTTGCGCATCGCTGGCTTTGGCGGACAGCTCATTCGCATGGTCGCTATTGGTCGCCATTCTGTCGCCTTCTGCACTTCTCGGGGCATGGTTGGGGCCAGCAGTCGTGCGTCGCTTCGGGTTGGTGAGAGCCCTCCGCAGCACCGCAGCCTTCTTTGTGATTTCTGGGCTGCTCTTTCCTTTGTCGGCGAAGGCCGCGAGCAGCAGTTTGTCTCTAGCCTACGGGCTTTTTGCACTGGGCCGGATAGTTGCAGGCATTGGAGGTGGAGCAGCCACTGTGTTTGTCCCGCTGTATTTGGGGCAGATTGCTCCACTGGAGCTTCGTGGAGCCATCGGCAACTTGCATCAGGCGGGGATCCAGGCTGCAGGGTGGTGTTGTGGGGGATACTGTAAGTTGTCCCAGGATCGGCTGGCCTGCTCCTGCCAGGTCGCCATCGTTTTCGGGCTTTTGGTCGCGCAGCTGGCCGGTGCTTCTTTGTCATGGCCATGCGCCCTGGCCCTTGCCGCTTCTTTCGGCATAGTCCAGAGCTTCTTGCTCGCTTGGTGTCGCCATGGCGACCAAAGTTTGCAATGCAATGTCGAAATGCTCCAGATGCCAGGATTCTTCTCATGCCGCGGCTTCTAGGCATCCAGGAGCAGCGCGCCCAGGTCGGAGAAGCCGTGCCATGAAGTGTGGCCTGACGCTGTGAGCTGTAACATGAAAGGAGTCCGATGGGACCGAAGCGATCGGAGCAAACACGGGCTTCCAAGCGCTGCTGACGGACAGCCGAGTGCGACGGCCTCTGTACATGGCGATCATCCTTATGGCGCTGCAGCAATACAGCGGCATCAACGGAATTTGGTTCTATAGCACAGAATTCTTTGCACGTGCGGGGCTCTCCAACCCCCTCGCCGGCACACTTCTTTCGTCGTTGGTGTTCATGCTGGCGACGTTTCTGTCCGTGCCGCTTATTGAGCAGGCCGTGCAAGTAACCGTGCAGCACAATATACTCACTTACAGTACTCACCCACTCATGTGTATATATAGATATGTATTTACACATACACACAAATTTTAAATTGATTGCATGCACTATTTTGTTTGCCTGTCTTTCACATCTGGTCCAACCTCATCCCATAATCTAGTTTCAACTAACTTAACCTATCTATCTACGTATGTATCTATCGACCTATCTAGATCTAGGTCTCCTGATGCTCGGCCTGTGTCGCAGGCGGGGCGGCGGGCTCTAATGCTGCGAGGGCAGGCAGGGGCGCTCCTGTCACTGTCCCTCCTGACGATGGCGCTCTGCGTAAAGTCGGTGGCCTGGCGACAATCAATTCGGAAAGTGCGCTAACAGTAATGCAGAGCCGGGTGCCATGGAAAGGTGGGTTGCCTCGTTGCCTTGCAGAGCTACCTGAACATGCTAGTCGTGACGGCAGTACTTGGGTTCGTGACGTCCTTCGCGATAAGTCGCTGGGCTGCGACTTAGTGGAGAGGCTATCGCTTTGCTGCGTCTGACGCGGAGCGTCGCTTCGTTTCTCTTGCCCATTTGCAAGGCTTGGGACCAATCCCGTGGCAGATTGCGAGTCTTGGCGAAAAGAGATGGTGCATCTCTGGCCCAGTGAAGTTGGTATCGCCTTGCCTACCAGAAGTTTTCGGAAGTGAGTTCCTCCTGGATAAGGAATGAAATCTTTCCTCTGCGCTGCCGGGCAGAGGCCTGACCAAAGACTAGTTTGACTAATATCGACTGAAGTTTTGGCCGATGTACAGCTGCATGTCGATCGGCCTGCAGTAGAAGCTATGACGATGCTTCTCGCGCCAGGCACAGTGCCTCATAGCTTCGTCACGTGGCTTCCGAAGATGTCGATGGATCAAAACGGCAGCGGCTGGCTCATGGGGTCGAAGCCATTCGAAGCCCAGGTTCTGTGAGGTCTTCAATGCAAGCGTGGCTCTGGGCTTTCCTGTGGCTGGCTTGCACCAGATCTCGAATCGCAGCTTGCCTTGTGCACTGGCAACATGCGAGGTGTTGCAGCGCTGCCTGGGATCGCAGCTCGCGTTTGCACCTAGCATTCTGGCACCTTTGCTGAATCAACCCAACTTGGTGTGACACCTTGGTCCTAAGTCCACTTGACACTTGGCAGTTCGAGGCCCTGAGGAGGGGCTGGGGCCAAGATTCGAGTTGTTCCCGAGGTTCTCCTCGCTGGAATTCTAGTTGTCAAGAAGAATCTGCCGGTGTTGGCCTCAGCTTACAAGTGAGGGGGTGCGTTGAGAGAGAACTTCTGCTTGGGGGAAGACTTGAAATCTGAAAAACGGGACCGAGGAAACCAAGAACCGAGAGGTGGAGGATATCTTAGTGGACTTTAATCGGCGAACGTGATTGCTTTCAGATGTGGAAAATGGCAAAGACCGTTGCGCACAGGAGATATGCATGGTGTTTGCTCTTGGCGGATTTTCTCCTTTCCCTAGGGCCTATACAGTCATAACGTAGACGCTGCAGCCACTGCTTGCTCAACGAAGTCCAGCACCGCGCCCTGCGCGAGAGACTCTCAGCCGAAACAAGTTGTGGTGATGAAAGGCAAGTGGCCCATGTTGTCGCAATCGCCAGCACCTTCCAAAGCCTTTCTTTTTGGCACGAGTTCGCATTGCGTGTTCTGGGGCTGGCTGTCAGGGGTAAGCTTGGGATCTTGTGCCAAAGCCGGTGGTCTGGGACACTGGTCAGGCTGTCGTATGGCACCACGTGTCACAACTGTTTGATTGTGCACCCGTGAGGTTGGGCTTGTTCTGAGTTCGTCACTGCGTCGTGTTACAGGTACGGAAGACAGTAGTTTCGTACATGCGGCTTCAGCAAGCAAACTGTGGGATTCCGTGCTGTATCTTCATGTACCAGTCTCGAAGAAGATGATGGAGAATCCCGGCATCGGATTGCAATTAGGTCAGCATGAGAGATTCCTGATTGAGGTGATCTTGGCATGCCCAAGCGTTTCACTTGTGTACCTTCTCCGGATGGCGAAAGGTGCGCAAATTCCGCCCAAAAGTTCCGTCTTCCAAAAAAGGGAAGTCGATTTTAATCATGCAGTTATCAATCAAGGCTCTCACGGTGTTTTGTGGTGATATGGCGATGGTGGTGGTGATTAGTGGTGGAGGACTAGTAGTACTGGTACTACTAGTGCTAGTAGTACTCGTAGTGCTGGTACATGCTAGTTCTGCAGTACTAAGAGCGCCGGCAGTCCTAGTAATGCTCGTAGTTCCAGCAGTGCAAGTAGCACTTGCAAAAGTTGTGGTGGTAGATATAAAGTACAGGAGCGGGAGTTGGAGTAACAGCGGCAGCAGGAGGAGTAGTAGTGGTGGTGGTAGCAGCAGCAGGAGGAGGAGGACGAGCAGGAGGAGTAGTTAGTAGGAGTAGTAGCAGGAGGCAGCAGCAGTTGCAGTTGCAGTAGCATACACAATGTCCACGTACCATCGAAATACCTAAGATGAGCATGACGTGTTTTGCAACCGTGGAATAATGTAGCATCGGTTCTAGAACTAGATTTGATTTCAGCTTCTCAAGGCCATGGCGGCCCCGCGAACGCGGACGGGCAGCGGCGGCTCGAGCAACGACTTCAACTTCAGGGCAGCAGGCTTTCAGGGTTTTGCTGTTGTTGCTGTAGTGGCGGCTGCTGTCGTCGCCCTGACGACGATAGTTCCCTTTGTGTTGTGGTTTTGGGGCTTGGGTTTGGAGTTTGGTTGAGAGTTTGTCTTGCAACCCCACGCCCGAAGGCTTCTCCGAGCTCATGATTCCAAGCTCTAATGACGGTCGCCACCAAAATGCCCGATGCCACACCATCGTCTGTGATAGGTGAACGTTTCGGTTGACTTCTGAGCTCCTGAGGTTGATTGCTTGTCGGAGCATGTGGGGGTTGTTTGGGGGTAGTTTTCTAGCAAGCTTCACCAACAACTATATAAGGCCCCCATGTTTGGCAGGCTTCCCAGCATGCACCGATCCAACCACAAGAATAGAGCGGTTACTCTTTTGCTGCCTCCTGCTGTGTTTGACGGTCCGGTATGTTCGCAGGATCAAAGACCGAAGCAGCCATAAAGGAAGCTGGGCTCTTACCCACGGCTCTGCAAATGTCTAGATTTGGTCACTCGGAAAATCGAGGAGGGTGTGCTGCCTCTTGAGACCTGAGTGTGCCAGATGGAGCACGGAGTGCACAAGTTCTTCACTGGCATGGAGGAGTCCCTGAGCAAGATCACCAGGCACTCAAGAGAGCAGAACGTTGAGTGGAGTGAACATCCATCACGAGCGCACTGACCTGCATAAACTCGATCATTCGCCCGCTTCGACTTCCAGTGCACGTCTGGGAAGCTGCGATCTCTTGCGATCTGAATTGCAACGTGGCGCTAGGCCCAGTTGGCTTGGCGGTGGCAGTCTTACCCTTAGAAATTTACGTGTGTGCAATCTGCCCAACAAGCACCACAGTCACATGTATCCATGCCCATGCATGCCCTAAAGTTGACTCAGGTGGCCCTTCCAGACAAGCTCCCGCACCACCAGTTGTGCACACCAAGCAGGCAGACGACGGTTGCTCAAGTGAGCCCAGACACACCGACGAGAATCCTCGCAGGAACACCCCACACCGACCCCAAGTGGTGAAGATGATAGCACCATGCGGCCGGGCACCCGATGAGCATAGGCCAGAGGCGGCTCCTCGGTGTCATGTCGCAGACGTCGCGTTTCAGGCACCACTGCGCCGCTTTGGAGCGATTAGTGGAAATGGGCCTCTCGCCCCAGGCAGGATGTCCAGATGTTGAACGAGCGCTCTCCAAAGCAACAAGTGACTGCTTCACGACAAGCTCTGCGTAGCTGTGATCAACTCCTGGCTAGCTGTGCCTGATCTTGAGGCAGCGAAGGTTGCCGTCCGACATTTGGACAGCTGGCTGGTCAGCGAGGTTGGCCGGGGTCCATGTAGAGCAGTTTTGCAGTCAACTGTTGCGCCAGGATGGTCGATCGGAGATGGCCGTGGCGGAAGCAGAAGCAACCAGCACGGGAGAAGCAATCTTGCATGCCTGTGCCTCGAGATGAGACAGTCCGAGAGACAGAGTTCGCGAGCCCGAGTCTAGAGCAATCTGAGGTGCACGACCAAGTTCGCCTGGAGGGTCTTGTCAAGAACAAAGGCAGGCACTCGCCAGAAAGGCCCCCGCAAAGCACGTGCACCGCTGTTTCTGCCCGTCCAGGCACCAACGGCATGTGCTGTACTGAGCTTCTCTCGCACGGTAGATCATGCACTGAACGGAAAAAATGTATCGGCCTTGAGGATGGGCACGCTGGAAGCTTACGGTGCTGAAAGCCACCGCTGGAAGGTTCGTTTGACAGATGACCAGGCGGGTGTTGGAGCTCCAACACTACATCGGAGGAACTGGCTTTTCAGTGCGAGGTCTTTTGGATCAAGCCGAAATTGCTTCGGCCTTTGAAGATGCTGCGCTTGACCGCCACGTGAAGATGAAGAGCCACGAGCTTTCAGAATCATGTGTACCTCCAGCCTCCTGCCAGGGATGCCGCTGCCTTTGCCAGATCCGTCACCGCCCGAGCACACAACAGGCGAAGACGAGCAGGCGAGGTCTTGAATTGATCCCGGTTGACAACGGAGCGAAGTCCAGACCACGCTCCTGAAAGTGCTGGTGTTTTTGCAGCTGCTCAAGCGCGAGCATCACGAGACGGGGAACGATGCATGCAAGACGAGTGTGTTAACTGATGTCCACTGCAGCAACAGGTGCAAGGGTTCTTCATAGCATAGCTGCAGGTCTGGGAAGGGCGAAAATGTATTCGTAGTCCCAGCCAAAGGACCAGAACCCATTGCTGCATCGACGTCAGGGTGGACGATGGGCACCTTAGAGGATGGGCTATGAAGCTAGAGCAAGTTAGACACATCCACAAAAAATATGGGTTTGCACAGGGATAGATGCATGTGATTTTATGCGTGCATATGCGCTGAGGGACCAGTGACTTCGGTTAACAGGTACTTGGGGTTGTCTCATGTACTTAATATCCACTATATTATATAGTTTATTATTTTATTGTGAGAGAGAGAGAGAGAGATATATATATATATACATATATATATATATATATAGTATCATATTATATAATACTATGGTCCTATATAAGTCCCCTAAAGGCCCTACATTCCGATAAATGGCTTGGCCTCGGCCTCCCAGCGCTTCGGCGGCGCCCTTGGCCGGTGGCTTTGGTGCACGAGCCGCAGCGGCACCTAAGGGGTTTAGGGTTTAGGGTTTAGGGGAGCGCAGGGATTTTTTGCCAGGGAAGAGGACTTAAATATGCTGGGCTGAGCACACAAGCAAGACAGAGAGAGGCTGGTTCAAAAAAAGGATTGACGACTCCAGGGCATTGCAATACACGTGCTTGGTGACGCACCAAGGTTAGAGGCTTGGCAACAAATCTAGACTCTGGACTTTGTATCTTGCATTCAACCAAACCGAAGAGTATGCACCAGCTTTCACAGACGATTGCCCTACACTGCCTCAAGGCTGTGAAGCTCTACTGTTGACTCCGGGCGTGGTTATCTGAAATAGAATGGGTCTGCAAGATCGGAGAATCACTTGCTTGGCTTGGCGTTGAGAGCCTACCGACTTGGGTGGTCCGAGATTGAATAGTGAGTCGTACTACCCCAGAGCCTTACACCACACGTCAGGGTCGTGTAGCAACGGACTCCAATTCATGGCTCTCCCAATTCACGACTCCGAGCTCTCAGAAGCCCAGGGCTGCAGCTGGATGGACAAAGCTACGAGATCCGATATGGGCCCGGGCAAGACTTCGAGACTCCGGAGGACTTCTTCGCACCCTGCCGGGCAGCCCTCAGAGAGCCGCCCCTGAGCTGATTTGTGCCTGAAAGAGCCCCCAGCGCTCCGATTTCCTTCATATACCCTTGCCTCAGACTCAGAGGACGGATCCCTGTTAGAATTTAGGAAGTGCTCCGAAATTTTGGGGTTTCGGCTTTGCGAGGGTTTACAGAATCGCTGATTGCTGATGCAAGCTGGGCAAGGTGCGAGGAAATGTTGCGAGTTGTGGAGGCACTGGGAGCCTTGGAATCTTTGCAGCTGGACGCACACGGAACCTTGCGCGTGGCGCTGCCTTTCTGCGGCAGCATGCGCTTGGGCTGCACGAGGAATGCAATTTTTGACGGTGGATTGTTTCTGGCTGTCCGTTCCAACTGTGCGTTGGTATGCCAAGGCAGGAGTTGCCGATCCTGGCCCACTTTCTGTCAACACGCTGCTCAGGCTCGGAATCTGAAGACATCTGATGACTCGGGGTTTGTGTGTTGACGGAAGTGTCACGATGCCTTCGCACCGCTATGCTCAGGCCGGCAGGGAGTGGCCAAGATCTCCATCCTGGCATCAGATGTCCAGGACTGGGCGCCGCTTGGAGGCTACTGGAAACAGAAGGAGACGTACGTGAAAAGATGGTACCCACACATGGACCTGAAGTTCTGCCAGCTGGATTTGCATGCCCTTCGGCACCCACCCTCATCACTGACCTTTGCGTTTCATCCGGAATGCACAGTTCACAGAGACTTGTGGCGCCGGATCCTGCACAACGTTATCTCTGCCAGCGCTGTGTGTATTGTGTGCACCTTCAACGATGAGGAAAGGAAGGCAGGCAGTGCGGGGGGAAGAGGAGTTGGGCTTACTCTTCGCTGGAACAGCCGTACTGCAGCCGTTCAGCACCACAGGTGGTTCTTGGTGTTTGCCAAGACTTGGGCCGACAAGCTCAGTGTCAACGAAATCCTTACTATGCGAACTCGATGCAAAATGGCAGCTCAGCCGCAGACGTAGCTTCATCAGGGTGTCGCCATGCAGCTGCGGGCCACCATTGTATGCTCTAAGGAGCGACGCCGCCTTTTCTCAACTTCTTGATTCTTGTGCGCTAGGTTGAAAGAGTTCTTGCTGCCACAACCTTGCTCTGGAAGAAGATGCCTGTCGTATGCTGTAATGAGCACAGGTCAAGGAACTCAGTGCCGGAGAGCAGCGGCTCGAATTGTCAACAGTTGCGCTTTGAACATGTTGCACATGATGTAGCAGGTTGTCTGCACCCGGAAGCACCAACATTTGGGATTAATTACGCCGCATACACACCTACGGACTCGTTCAGAAGGGGTGCTCGCGATTATGAGAGTGGCTGGTAGCTGTGATTTTGCTGCCCCATTCATGGATTGCCAGACAGATTTCCCCAATGGCATTGGGCAATGCGCTCAGCTGCAACTTGGGCTGCCTTCAGTTCTGTTCGAGAGCACACCTTCTTCTGGTAAACAGAAATCGCGAGCAAAGGGGCGGATTGGGCTGCTCCTGCTCTGGAAGCTTGGCTCGTGATGAATTGAAGCGGTGCAAGCAGCGGTTGACGGTTGACTTCTCTCGTGTCAGCGGTGCGAGGTGCAAGCAGTTCCAGTCGGCTCTTGGCTCGGAGGCTCGCTCTACTCTTTCGGAGGAAGCACAGTGAAAGCCCAATATCCGCCCCAAGAGCAGGAGGCCCACAGTTGCCCGGCTGGCAGCCCGAGGCCCCGTCGGCTTTGGAGTTCTTTGCATGCGGGACCTTTGACGCCGGTGAGCTCCCTTGCAAAGGTGTCTCGGAAGCTGCTCCGGTCGGGTCATCGTGGTGGGAGCCGGCCTGGCAGGCTTGGTGTCAGCTCAGACGCTGCAAAGGGCAGGCTGTGGCTTGGCACTCGAAACGAAGCAAAAGCCTGATAGATTGGATTGTGATGTGAAGGTTCTGCGTAGAGTGGATGATGGGAAGGGAACTGCCAGCTGCTACCCAGGTGAGGTTGTGGTTCTGGAAGCCCACGGCCATGTCGGTGGAAGAGCTGCTGCACTTCAGACGGGGCCGTTCCAAGGCTTCGATGCAGGCCCCGAAACCTGTTGGCGGGTTGATGGCGCACATGCAGAATGCATGAGTCATACATATGTATATATATATATATAAGTAATATAGCACATATGCACGTACGCAAGCACACATGTATGTACATACGTGCTTACAAACACATGTATGTATGCATGCATGCAATTGCAGGAATGTAATAGGATTGTCTGTAAAAGCAGTTGGATCTAGTCCGTGGGCGTGGAAGACTTTGTAGGGAACGATGCTCACAGAATCCAATGCAGGAATGGCACTAGCGAGCTAAGCAAACAGATGCCAAGATGAAAGCCTTGACAGGCGCGCAGTGGGTCCATGGCGGAGAGACTTTGGCCAGGCCTAGAGAGGAATGAAGCCGCAGATCAGGGAATGCCCCGTGTCTTTCTGAGTGGTCCTGCATACAACCAAGGAGGAAAATCTTCCCATCATGGCGCTGGCACGCTTCTTCAATCTTACCGTGGAGCAGGTCGGTGGCAACACGGACTTCGAAGGCCGTCTTCTCAGCAGATCCAAGAACAAATTGAGCTTGCGCCAGCCATTTCTCGTATGGCCAAGGGGACCACGAGAAGCATCGGCTGTTTCTTGCGCACGGACCGAACGAGGACGTGAAGGCAGAGGCCGCTCCAAGCAGCATTTGCTTTGAAGGGGCTGATGGTGACGCATTGTCCTTGCAGCCTAACCGTAGTTATACTTTGGCGAAAAATGCTGCAGGCTTTCCGGCGGTATCTCGAAGCCAAGGGGCACTTCGATCGGAGAGTGAGCTGGGTCATTGCGAAGCATCGGCGCGACCTGGCACTCAGAGACTTGCCAGACATCCGGACTACCAGTGCCTTCATGCTAATCCAACCTCTGGTGCCCGTTGCGTGAGATGAGGATCCGCATGGCAGCTCATCCTGAACGGAAGCTTCGCCCCTCAGCTGCATGGAAAGACTACGTAGTCGGTGCAGGCCCTAGCATTGCCTTTTTTAGTTGTCTTCGCAGTTGCACTAAGGACCCCCTATTCGAGTGGCAACTGCGTGTCCGCAGCGAGCAGAGCTGGGGCATCAGTCCAGAACAAGTGGGGACACGACTCTCCGAGGTGGCTGTCTACAGACGCTCGTCTCCCCTTGGCTTCATGTTTGTGCCGATGTAGCTACAAAATTGATAAGAAGTGCAGAAAGGAGCGAGTTGGCTCAGGCACCTTTTATTCCGATGCGTCCCGGCTGCACTTAGATACTTTGGATGCGAGTCTCACCACGGCTTCCGGTGTGCAGAGACAGCCTCATGCTCAACGGAAGCAACCTTGTCAAGATGCGAGACCACACAACGAGCGCGAACGCAGACAGTGCAATCGTAAATGCCCTGGATTTTCCCCACGGTCGTTGAACTCGCCGCAGGACGCGCCAGGCGATGCGAAGCTGCGACTTGGCATGGACGCTATACCTGTCTGCACATCTCTACAGCTGCGAGGGCCAGCGGCCACCCTCCGTAGTGCATGGCCACATATGTGTCCCTCTTGCAAGGATCGGCGGCTTCGGTGCCTCAGCCACGGTAGACAGCTATTTGTTGGGTTTTGCATGCAGTCGTGATGCAAGCGGAATCTTGTCATCACCAAGCCATGTCAAGCATCATTCGTGACGTTGTCATTGCGAAAGTGTTAGCATCGTCGTCATGCCTGCACCGGCCATAAGACTACACACTTCAGCATCAAGCTGCCATGCCGGAAATGCTAAGTGCTACAGTTTGGACGAGTTTAAGTTCAAGCGATAGCAGCCAGGGCTGTCAGAAGCACCGGGTGCAAGCGGTGAGGCAGCCTGGTGCGGGAGTTGGCCAAGGGCTTGAATGTGCGCTTCAACACTACAGTGACCTCCATATCTCTGGAGGGTGCGGTCTCAGTCCGTGCGGCAAATGAGACCCACCGAGGCATCGGGCTGCACATGCTTGCCGCTCATGGTGATACGGAGATTTTGTGCAGTCACGAGGGCGGCAGCAGCACATGTTGCAAGGCGCAGCAGTGATCGTGGCCGTTCCGTTGCCCATCTTGCAGCAGAAGATGCACCTCCAGCCGCCGATGTCTAGTGACTGGAATGCTGCCTCGCAGCACATCAGGTGAAGCAGCATATCGAAGCTAGATGCACAGCAGCAGCAGCAGTTAGTTTGAAGTCGCCGAGAAGTGCAGGCATCTTTGCACCGTGCCTTGGAAGCATACATGCATCAAGGAAGCTTCTGTGATTGGCTGGCGCAAACCGCTTGTTCAGCAAACGAAAAGCTTCCGAGGCTTGCAGATGGGGGACATCGCCAAACTGTTCATAAAGTTTGCGGGTGGGCAGTCTCCCGAGGGCATCTTGTCCAACCAAAGCTTCACATCTTGAGGAAGGTGGAATTCAGGGAGATCCACAGAGCGAGTGAGCCCCTGAGCAGCCACCGCGCAGCGAGACACTCGGACGGCTCGGACTTGACGCAAAAGGCAGAGATCCACGAAGAGGCGAGAAGCAAAGCAATGGTCGGCTTCAGGTTTTAGGGCAGCAAATGTAGAGGCGAGGCAGGGGAATCTGCGTACACTGTCGTACACTTAGTAGGCGGCGGCCAGCAAGACTGCAGAAAGAACAGAAGCAAGAACAGACAGCTTTTCCGCCGCTGCAAACGAAGGAAACGGCACTTACCTGCTCTCGAAACTGGTATCGCACACATCACGGAGCCTCCTCTACTACTGCACATGTGGCTTGGCTGCACGCGTGATGCAAGCGGGCATATCGTCGATCAGACAGAAGCAGCACAGTTGTGGTGACGCCAGATGTGTTGAAAGGGGAAGCTACATCGACCACGCCCCGCACCGTGCAGCCTGGCATGAGCAAGTATTTGGGACTTGTTGTGCTGCCGGCATTGCTTTTCGCTTTCAAGCGAAGTCAGACATCGAAGATGGGCTGACAGGCCTGTACCACCGAGCACGTTGATTTGCCTGCTGTCGGGTGCTTCCTTTGCAGAGGCCGGGTGAGCCCATGCCGGGATGTGGGCGGCAATGAACTTTCTGCCAGGCGCTGAAGTTGAAGCAGGCCGGCAAGCAAGCCTTGCGGAGCCGCGTTGTAGAGGAGCTCTTTCAGATGCAGCTTGGCCGCTTGCAGCACAGCGCTAGCGGCTGGCGCGCATTGCAATGCACGTCTGGCACAGCTGAGGTATCCAGAACTGCAGCCGACAGCCGTGGAGGCTGTACAGCTCGTGTCCTTCTCCTGGGACCCTTCCGAGCCTCGGCAGCAACGTGTACGGACACCTCGGACAGTTTTGGCAGCTCAGAAGACATGTCAGGTTCTGGGGTCCTGGACGTCGGGAAAGGCCCACTACCGGTTCTGCTAGCCCCGATTCCGTCATGTCCCGAAGGATTGCGTCTCAAGCCAGGTGGGTTCCAGCAGCCGAGATTTCAGTATCTTCCAGCCGGCGATCACAGGCAGGTCGGACAAGCTATGATGGAGTGTTGAAAGAACTCTATAACAACCAGATACTCTCAGCATGGGTTCCATGGAGCCCCCGACAAAAATCCTTCAAAGTGTGCCCTTGATTTGAAGACAGCGGCAGATTGCAATGCCGTGGCCGCGCACCAGGCATGGCCTTCGCCGGCGAGCACACGTGCCGCTTGATGTACGGAACCGCTCAGGCGATAGGCCTAAGCGGTTTGTCGCTTTGGATCATTGAGTCTGCGAAAGCCCGATGCAAAAGGGTCGCTGAGTCTTCAAACATACGGCGGTCTCAGCCGTTGCGGCTTATGGTATCCATGCATGGCGCGGGGTTCGGCATAGTTCAGGTGCACTTCATGTCACACCGAGACTTGGGAAGAAGACAAAAACCAAGAAGATTTGAGAGTTTGTGGTTCGTGAGCTTTTTCTCGCGTCTTCCCAATTTTTCATGTGTGGGTCCACATTTCCGAGGGCCATATGGCTATATGAGCCTGGGGTCGAACTTTAAATCCTTGTCAGGCGGCCATCGTCTCGGGGGCACGCGCTGCACATGAGGCCTCCTTCCCTGCCTGCCTCCGTCGAATGCGACAGAGATCGTATGTCAACCGAAAGCCAAGCATTGGGTGTGATACTGTGCGATGCGGACGGGCAGACTGCTGCTAAAGCATCGGGAGCTTACGTATAACTGCCCCCCGAACTGCCTTTGACTTGATGCGTGATGTGGGTGGCCGAAGCATAGCAGAGGTCTTGGCTGGTAGACTGGGTGGTACAATTGGAAGCACCTGGCCTTTCTTCGACAAGGAGTTGCGGCTCTGTTGCAATTTGGCCAACGATGCACAAAATGCGTTGTGCGCCGATGGGCAAGCCCGCGCTGCGCTGAGGTACTCGCTATGCGACGCTTGTCCGCGCTGACGTGTATCGTTGGAGTGCCATGAATTAGCACGATTTCTGCAAACTTTGCTGCGCCTGAGGACGAGCTTGCACATGAGGGAAGAAGGGCTGCTTGGTTAAAATCAATTCTTGCTGGGCTCTGCTCCCAAGAGCGGCTTAGATGTGACAGCGTGGCATCTTCGCGCAGCCAGGAGCATTGCGGATTGACCTGCCCAACGCTTTGGGCACCATTGCCAGAGGTGGTGCCAAGCCTCTTTCAAGACTGGCAAGGCAAGCGGTGTGGTGCTCCTGTTTGAATTGTTTCTGGACTGGTGGAATTCTCTTTGTCGACTGAGGCTTCAGCAATGAATGTCATCCATGCCACCCGCCCGTTAAACCTGAAGCCACTATCCATTGCTTGGATCCGCTTGGTAGCAGGCTTGTCCGATCGTGGCCTTTTGTGAGACTGCGTCAGGCATGCCGAAGAAAGCGCGGCGCTGCTGGAGCAGGTTAGGCTGGCGACCGCTCTCCTGGATGCGGCAAGCCAGGACGCAGCCAAATACAGGCAATCGCATGTCTTTGCATGTCTTTGGTTTCTGAAACAGGAAGCCGGCCTCGAGCTTGAAGAAGTGGCTGCTGCTGAGCTTCGCTGCCACTCAGTGAGCCATCAGATCAGCCATTCTTTTAGTGGATCGTGCCATCCTTTGCCAGTAAACAAGTCAACAGCAAGGCTTCGCTGCAGTGAGGGCTGGAACCAACGGAATGGCAGCTGAGGAGAAGGCAGCCGCCACTCACTTAGGCTTTTCTGAAGAGACATGGAATGCATCGTGGTTGCATTCTGGGCCTCGTGCCAAGCACGTACTGGAGGGCTTCGCATCTCGTATATGCAGGGTGCAGATGTCAATGGAACAGCACAGGGGGAATGCCGTGATTTGCGCAGACCTGGCTGATAGGAGCTACGCTTCGAACAAGCATTTGGCTTCCTCCCATTCCCAACAAAGACCGGGAGCAAGCTTGCTACTATCTAGTAACTAGTGTACATTACTTTGCTTGTAGCAGGCTTGATGCATCTAGGCAATCCATCTAATGCTTCTCTGTCACATGTCGTGATCAGTAACACCAGCACTTCAATGATCGGCATGCAACCCAGGCTGCGTCGAAAGAGATGACTGACATCATTCTGTGCAGATCAGGAAGCACTCACCTCCAGTTCTGGGATTGCTTGACGAAGAACCAGCAGCGAGACTGGCAGCCTGTCAAAATTTCCTGCCTTGTCCGGGTGCCGTGTCTTTTGTTCACCTTGGGGCAGAGTTCGACTGATTGTATGGAGCAGCTTTGACAGGATGAAAATTCACAGAAAGCTTCCTGAAATCCGTTGAGGCAGCGTCTGGGCATTGATCGCTCCACTCTGCCACGTGCCAGCATCTTCCCGCGGCCCAGTGTCCCACTGATGAGCCCCTTGCATGCTGACGGCAAAGGAATGAAGAGCTGCCAAGTGCCGTGGCCCCCTGGCCAGTTGTGACGGAAGGGGTGACCTTGTCACCAAGATGCTTCACTTTGCAACTCAGGCCACAACTGGCTGGAGACAGCTGACCCATCTGCAGCGCAAAGCGGCGATCCGGATTGGCTATCGCCCCTGGCTGTGGTGAGCCAAATGAGCTCGTTGACCTGCTAGCAGGATTCTGATTTGCCAAAGATGCAATCTTCACTTCTGACAAGAAAAACTGGCTGAAGCAGCTGTGCTTGCAGGTGTTGTTGATTAGAGTCTGAGACGATATCACCGCCCGGAGGTGTGTTCTACATCCTTGGCCCATGCCTGGGCAAAGTTCGAGGCAAAGCAGAGGGCCTGGAAAGAAGAGTCGGCCCGGCTCGGGGTTGCTGCCTTGTGGAATGGATCTACATGTATCTCAGTGAGGCGAGCAATCCAAGTCGACAGGTTTCACCTCGGCACATATGAACCCAAGAATATCTTGCGCACGCCCTGATGCAGAGCGGAAACCATTTGCCAGGCAGGAGGATCGCGAGATCCGCCTGCTTGAGAAGGAGGAGGAGCTTGCTCAGCTCCTGCTCGGCCTGTGTTTTTGGTATCCGTGATATGGAGAGTTGATGTGGGTTCTGTTTGTGAAGTTTTACACAAGGACTCTGTTCTGAGGGTGCTTGTGTTAAGGTCACTGTTTACCAGTTTACCATTTGCAGTTCGGCCCCCTGATGTTCTGCGCGATGCTGAATAGAACCGACTGGGTATGGGTGGGGGGCCCACGTGGCTGCAGGATGCCCGCAGCCACTTTGCTCGGCATGATGCCAAAGCGGCCAAAGCGCCATCGATGAGGTCGAGGAAGTCGAGGAGTCCGCCGCGCTCAAAGCTTGGAAAGTCGAGTAGCCTTCCCAATATCAAGAAGGCTTATGTCGCACCTTTGCAGCTGTGCTCAGTGGACCTTCATGCTAGAACTTTCTCGATCAAAGACATCAAGAAAGGTGCGGCCGCTTGGCTGCGCATGGCACCCCCATCTCCCGTAGACCGTGTAGAGGCTTTGCCACAAAATTTGTGGTCCAAAAGCAGCCAAGGTCGCGAGCCGCGGGAGCCAACGGCTACCTTTCATGGCCTTTGAGAGAGGTGTAGAATGGGAGCGGCCCGGAGCCAAAGCAACCGCACCTCCACCGAAGTTGCCGTCTCTTAGCCGAATCATGCATTCCATCCAGAGCATGAACTTCTCGGATCAGAGTTTGTCGGTGATGACAAGCGGGAGTCTCCGATCAAATCCCGCTTTTGGTGGCTCTGGGCACTGCCGGGGGGGCCCGAAACTCCCACTGAAACACAGCAAGAAGAGGCTCGAAAGCCTGCTGCTGAAGGCACCCAGGAAAAGCTCCCCGACTCGGCCCTCCTCGAAGTCAAAGAATCGGAAGAGGGCCGCCTGGGGAGGCGGTTTGGAGACGCACGAGTTCCGGGTGGACACCGTCGATCTCGAAGAGCCCTTGGCTGTCGTTGAGGCTCAGGCTCCTGAGCCAAAAAAGGAAGAGAAGCTAGAGAAGAGGGAGGAAGAGTCGGACAGCTCCGATTCCTCATCCTTGACATCGGACTCTTCTAGCGTTCCTTGGTGCAAATGAGGACGATCTCTCGACCCCCTCATGCCTGAACGTTCCTAGCCCTACAAGTAGCCTTTCAACGAGCCAAGCCCCGTTCAAAGAGAGCAGGAAACAGCTGTAGATGAGTAGTCCCAAGCATGTCGGTTTGATTTCGGAGGCGTCGCCTGGAGGGAGGGTAGATATCGTGCTTTCAGGACTCGTCGAGCGACCTGGCAGACTCAAGTGACGATGAGGAAGCTCTGCGGCTGTCACTGAATAAGCGGAGTTCTGGACTCACCCGCCGGATGTCAGCATTTGCACCTTGTTTGCAAGCCGCTTGCAGGCCTATCTGACTCAACGAGGTTTTCCATTTGGGAGTCGGGCAGCTTTCACTCCAGCAGTTGAGACTCTAGCCGAGGCAATGATGCTGCCTTTACTGGACTCCAACAACCAGCCCGTTCGCCGATCCTCCGTTGCGGAGGCAAGGTTTACACCACACCTTATTGTGTGTTTTGGGCTGTGAGCGTCAGCTGGTCAGGCATTCCTGAAAAAAGTGGAAGACGATGGGGATGAGGGTGACAACGATGCTGAACTGGACTTTCCCTGGAGCGACGAAGAATGCCGTGGCTCGGCTGCCTTGGTTGAGTGAAGACCAAGGCTAGTCAGGTGAACTCCAGGGGCTCTTGAGAACCAAGGCAGCGTCTTCATCAAGTTCGACACCGATACCGCCACTCACCAAGAATGGACCGAAGCAATGGCATCACCAGCGCTGTATTCTTCCATCCTGAAAGCGGGATGCCTGTATCGAGTTGCTTGCATGTGACCCTGCATCGTAGGTTCGTCCTAGCCAGGCGGGAGGCAACAAAACAGTGCAAAGCCAGAGCTGAGGACGGTGAGGTGGCGACTGAGGAGCTGCAAATGATGCTCAGGTGCAGTGGGAGCAAGAGTGCGATAGCAGCAACGACTGCTGTACTCGACGGAGTTACTGTAGGTGAAGTCGACACATGCTAGATTCTAGATAATTCCGAATTCCATTTCTTGGGTAGTAGTCGTGGGAGAAAGCTTTCGGGTGCCGCCCGGAAATTCATCCCAGTCATTGTCATCCGGAGCTCTATAGTAGGGGCTTCCGGACGCTGCAGGGCTTTGGAGCTGGTCACGGCTTTTAGTTTGGATGGGTTCACGGCTCCCGCTCCGCAGGTACATGGGCTGCATCCTTCGGCCGGGCGAGATCGAAAGACTCGTCAAGGACATGTTCAGCTATGCCACCGTCAGTTGGGAGGACTGCTGATGATACAATCGCTCTGCCCTTCCGTTTGGTTTGGCCCTCGTCGTTGTCCGATTTGTCTAGTGAGGCTCGATAGAGTCCGATAGAGTTGAATCCAGGAGTGGATGACTTTTTTGGAGAGATATCGCGAGGCAGCTCAGGGCGTGCACTGCATGCGCTGCATGTCATCTCCGCTGCTGGAGTGCGCACAGCCTGTATAGCGGCTTGAAAGATGACCATTCCTCTGCCTCTCGAGTACGGGCTGAATCCTGGCCAGGTGGATGAACAGTACCTCCGGGCAGAGTTCGGAGCCGCAGATGCGGACGGGAACGGCGTCCTAGACGTTCAGGAGTTGCGCGCACTTCTGAACAAGATGGGCTATGTGACAGAAGTGCCTTGGTGCCGGAAACGCGTTGCCAAGCCTAATGTTGTTTGATGAGCACTCCCGTCTTTGGTGTCGTGTGGGTGGGTGGGTTTAGATTCCGGGACTAGACTTCCTCCCGGGTGGGTGTGGGTGGTTCTGGCTTCACCCCCATCACGTGGGTGGCTGTGTTGTTCGGTGGTTCAAGCTGCAATCTGCTCCTCGCCCTCGCAAGAATCGACAAACTAGACCACCGTTCTGGCGTCTGTTGGCACTGTTCAGACCTTGCAATATGTCAAGATCTGGCACCCGCAACTGTTACGGGGATTTCGGACCCAGACACCCATGTCTGTGGCTGTTGGCAGCTTATTTTAGAGTCTAGATGTTGCCGTGATACTCGTACCAAAATCCCAAACCGACAGCAGCTTCGAGGATCCAAGGCCCAACCCATCAACTCCTGGTAGCTGTGGGCACTACTGGCCCTGTCGTCACCTCCCGATCAGACCTACCATTATATGTTCGAGCTGCGCGCAGTCTGTGCCCTGGGACATCTTGCAGCTAAGGCACACACTGTGCAAGAGGCCATGGAGACAATCGGCTGCGGGGTCTCCGGCTGTGTTCCTAGCCTGAAGGGAGAGGCCTGCAAAGAACGATCCCATACGCTCATGTAATTTCTTCTCGTATTTTGGTATAGACTATAGACTATCGTCTTATAATTTGCGCTGCAGCCCCGCAGCGGTGCCATCAGCTGGCTTGCAGTCGAAGCTGTCTCAACTCGAGGTGAATCTGCGAAAATTCGAGAAGCTGCGGGAACATCTGCGCTGCACCGAAGGCCATCTTGGGCTTAGTCTCTGGAAGAGTCTTAGTGCTGACTGATGTGTTCGAGGCTTGGCCAAAGACGACGTCCAGGAGCTTCGAACTCTTTACGATCGCATGGCAAGAACTGCAAAGGCACAGCTGAGACCATGTTGGTAGTTGACAAGGACCGCACCTCTAGCCTTTCCCTAGCTGTGAATCTGCTGTGCCAGGCCGAAAGCAGGTCACGAAAAGTGGACATCGGCCGCTTGTAGTGTTTCATTTAAAATCCACGCAGTTTGCCGCGTGCCATCTCGAAGTGCCAAGGAGCTGGAAGTCAGAGTGATATTGCCAAGAAGCTGATTGCTGAAACACAGGAGATGCCCGTGGAAGATGTTTCCCGCCTTGTCAAGAGCCTAAGCTGAAACATTCGAAGCCATGGAATGTGTGCGATAAGTGCCAGCGAATGCGAAGGTACTTGGGGTACAGTATCACCGCGGACAAGCTCGAAGCCATCGCAAAGGAGGTGGATAATGACGAGAGTGGGTACATCAGCTTCCAGGAGGGATAGCAAGTCCATGCAGAGCTTTTTTGTCCCTGCTGCACATGTTTCGTCTGACGCGATCCAACTTCATGTCACATTGAGTGCTGGAGGAGTTGCTGAAGCTGATCCGCAGGGTCCGCGATGCCGAGCGAGAGGCCATCGCCTCCGTCTTCGATCTCTTGACCGAGGATGGCTCCCCCTTGCAGATGCAAGATCTTCCCCGGGCACTCGTGGAACTAAAGCCACTCGGTCTGAAGCGCTTTTCTTTTTGGTGAGAGAGCAAAGACTCCAAGGTATTTCGCAACAGATGATCTCATCTTCTCCATACTGGACGACTTGTATCCGCTCGACAACCAAACGCACATGAGCCAGGATCAGATAGCTTTTTGGCAGCAGGTTCTGCCAGCTTGTGTATGTTCGCGCTACTGTATCTGAAAGCTGTGCCCGACAAAGCGACTACAGCCTGGAATGTTGCGGTCTGTGAGTCTGTGATGATCTGTGCAGAATCTGAGGCTTCTTTCCTCCGTGAGTTCCGTGAGAGAGAAGGTTTGACACACCTTGAGACGGCTGACATTCGCGAGGCATTTGATCATCAGTGCAAGGTGGGCGCTCGTGCATGTACAGTAGCTGCAATGTAGCTACGGTCTATACTATACATGTGATGCGCGACCTGACCGTGCCATCCCTTGTCTGCATGGAAGGTGACATCACAGCGAAAATTTGTTCAGCAATTGGAGGATCCCGCCATAACCAGCCCAAAGCATCTTGGCTATATGTAGACCGAGCAGAGGTCAACCGCAGTTTTCACATTTTCACAGATGCAAGTCCAGGACACCTGCGCCTGCGAAGCCAGAATCTGCGACAAAACTCAGACCCGCAGCGCCGAAAGCTTCCGCGCTGAGTCCAGTCCAGGACTGAGCCGCCGAAGCCGCTGCTATAAGATGCTTCCTGACAGATTCCGAAATCTCCGGTTTCGCCAGAGCCAGGTCCCTTCTCCCAAGGCAAGCAGCTCTCCGCGACCGGGCAGTCCTTTCAACCTCGAAGCTCCAGCTGCAAATGAAGACTTGATGTGGATGCCGTTTAGACTTGCTGCTTGCTCTCTCGATGCCGATTTTCTGCAACACGTCTCTGGAGGAGTGTGCGCCCATCGTCCGAGCATTGGACTCACTGCAAGCGCCCCATGGCTGCAGTCAATTTGCAATGGTGCAACAGCAGCCCTCCAGCTGGATGGGCTTTCCCGCAACAAGGAGCCGTGTTATGCGATGGTTCAACTTTGCCAAGCCCATGCAGGAGGCCTTATGCCAACCCTGCGATTGTGAGTGCGCCGTGACTTGGCGTGCCAGTGCCAGGTGCAACAGCTTCTTGAACAGTTCGATCTTGACGGCACTGGCAAGCTGGAGTTCGAGGGGTGACTTCATTTGCAACTGAAGCTCTCGATCTGTTTCCGCTTGCAGCATTCCATCGTTTGCAAGGGTTTCTTTGGCCAAGCAGGTTCTTGAAATTGATGCGCGGCTTCTTCTTGGCAGCTCAGCTTTGTCAAGCGTCGAGACGTTCAGAGCAGCTCGTGGATCTCGGTGGTATCGCTCGTAAGAATATTTCTGGCATCAATGCTCATTCCCATCAGGGAGGTTCACACTTATTCTTCGTGCCTGTCGTACTGCCTCGGGTAAGGAAGAGAGGGAAAAGCAATGGAATGTCTTCACGATGCTAGACAGCAGAGGCAATGGACACGCAAGGGCCTCAACTTTGCTGGGCTTAACTCGCTCAACATTGTGAGTGATTCGTGGGCCCACGGGATGGCAGATTTCACCCTGCCTCTGAGTCGAGCCATGTGCTAGCCCCCCGAAGGCCACTAAAGCAGTTGGGCAGGGCAAACACCTTGCAGGACATTTTTCTCAACCCTGGTGGCTGACCCGACCAAGGTGCCTGTGTCAAGGCTTCCGTTTGCCCTCACGAAGCTTGTCAGTGAATCTTATGTTGTCTCGGCTGCTTCTACACCAACCGACACCACCTAGCTCAGTGTACACTGTGTGTGTTCCGTCTTTAGTGAATGGGAATCTAGATCTCAGGAAGCTCTATGACGACACCAGCGTTGGCATGACCAAGAGGGGAGAGCAAGCTGCGCGAACGGCAGGTTTCTCGCTCTTAGACACGCCCCTTGGTGGTGGCATACAATGCGGCTTTGATCCGAGCAATTGCACGCGATAAAGCTAATGCTGAGTACGAATCCAAGGAAGAATGCCGTGTCGCGGTCTGCGTTCGAGTTGTTCTGCAGGAATTTCAGACACTAGTCTGCAACGAGTCCGCAAGATGAAGTGGCGGAGGGGAACGGGCCGGTCGGTATGTTCTGACGTAGAACGCGGGCTCCGGATCAGAGACTCCTCCTCGAATTGCTGCTGCAAACATCGCAGAATATCAAGACGAGGCTTGCGCTGTTTCTCTCTTGAGCGGCATTGAAATACAAGTGCATGAATCGTGTGGATCACCCGCATCCGCACTCAGCAGCAAGGAAAGCTGCTGATCCAGGACGTTCGGCACAATGCTTGCTACACCCCAAACGAGGCTGGATGCGGTACCGACACTGAGCATACTCCCACGCACGACATGTTCGGTAAGCTCTGGTTGCGTGCCACAGGACGATGTCTTGTTCAGGTGGTGGCTCTTCGCGACTGCTTCGACCGATTCGACAAGGATTTGGGTCCAGTAGCTTCGTGATGTGCACAGCAGGCTATGTACAGCACAACTGCACCCTTGTCCATGCTTCGCAGGACAAGAGCGGCACCGTCGAAAATACTGAGCTCGCCAAGATCATTGCGGAATACTTTCCTGAGGCAACACTACAGCATACAAAGTCAAGCAATAAGTAAGCCACTACTCATCTTTGTCTGTCGTGCCGACACTTATCCAACCCGAAAGGGAGGGAACCCCTTGCTGGCATGTTGTTGAGACTGCGGACTGATCCGGTTCTTGTGCCTCGAGCATGTGTGTCGCTCAGGCCACGAAGTCGAAGGATCCTTGGATCTGTGATAAACACTTCGAAAGCGCATCCGCGCTGGGAGAGACTTCGGATTGGTCATTTTGAGGCCCTCCTCTCTAAACCTGCGGAGTGGATAAAACGCACAGTTCCATCGGTTTACGGTCCAGGATGGTTTGAAGTTCCGAGCCGCTATGAGTGTATCAGTCGTCGTCGCAACCGAGGAAGGCCGAGCAGAGGTGCAAATCATCCTCAAGGACTTGTGCTTTTGCTGTTTCTTTCGGAGTCTGACGCCCTCATGAGGGCTGCCAGGAAGGTGTCGTGATGCCGGAAGCTGCAAGAGAGGTGTGTTAGCAAACACCTGCATATCTGGCAAAGCTTCGCAGCTAGCTCGGCAAGCAAGAACCGGCGCAGGACGTGGATCAAGATGGACTTGGCCGACTTTCATTCAGCACTCTGCTGGTTCTCATGCGAAGATGTGACGACATTCGCGACGAAAGAGCTGCTTAGCCCCAATAGAAGTCCAGATAGAAGTCATAGTGTTTTTTGTCGGATTGCCTTCAAAGCAAAGTGTTCCTGAGGATCTTCATGCAGAAATGTTCCTTGGCCCACACTTGTCGCAGAGCAGACAGGGCAGCTTGAAGTGGAATCGAGTTGCTCGAAGGCAAGTGGTAGATGAGCTGGGCTTGGATTACGAAGAGGTGGAGGGTTTCAGACAGAGCCTTGGCCAGCAACCCGGCAAGTCGCATCTTGGCGTCTTGGGAAACAGCGGTCCTACGGTTCTCTTCTCAGGATCTTCGACTTGCATTCCAATTGGGCGGCTCAGATGCACTCCCAGCGAGCCTCAAGGTTCCGCTTCGGAAGAGAGGCAACGTCCAATTACAGAGGTCTCAGGACCATCCTTGGCAGACTGCATCACTGTCTGAGGTCCGGGAGCTGACCTTCGACTCCCTTCTTACTATTCTCAGCTGCTCGGCGGAGAATCCAATTCGGATGAACAGGGAAAGACGTCGCAACGTGCATGCAACCTACATTGCAATAGCGCTGCGCATGAAAACTGAAACCTGAGACTGTGGAGCCAGCCATATCCAGCTGTTTCTAGAAAGAGATTCAGGGTATGCTCGATTTCTGCGTCGCCTTCTTAAATGAATCCTTCACAGAGTATCTTCAAACAAGATGGTGCGCCACTTGCACCACCACTCCTCGTGGGCAGATCAACGAAAGGTTTAAATTATGACGACCTCCTGGAAACCCTTCCCTTCCCAGTTTTTTCATCACCTCGCTGCCAAGCCGTGCACGTGTCATCCCTGTTTACTCTGAGCTCCATTCCTGTAGCCGTAGCCCTCAGACCATGAAGGCTGAGCACGACCCACCGGCCTATTTATATAAAAAAAAGCTGTCACACCCCCGAAGGCCGCATCGCCGACATGAGTGAGGACGATGTTAGTCTCCTGAGCGCCATGGTCCGGGAGGCTCAAGGTTCGAAATTTTTGTCAAGAAAAATGGGGCCAGGAGTTTTGGGACTGGGATTTTCGGCTCCGCTGTCCAGGTGCACCCCGAGCAGAAGCTGCTGCTGAGATTTCCCCACTTTCTGCAAGTGATTCTTGGAATGAACTGAAGAACACAACCAGAGGCTTGTCATGTGTTGTGTTCACGCAAACTGCAAGCCTGACAGTTGAATCACAGGATGCGCCGCCTCACAGATGAGAACACCGGCAACATCAACCACGCTTGCTCGCGGGTTCTTCGGAAACAGTATCTTCACTGCATTCTGGCAGCCGACAACCGGCCTCAGGCTGAAAGCGACTGAGCAGGATCCAGCGATGCGTGAAATGTGAGGCAGCAGCGTGCGTCCATGCTGGCTGGGCCATGACCAACGAGTTGATCTCCATGGTCGGCTTGCGTCGGAGAAGCTTGCGACGTGTGGTTGCCGTGTTGTGAAGGTCAGCAACACGAATTAGGTAGCAGACTGCTGGCAACAACAGCTTGCTGTAAGGCTCCCTGCTTCATGGCATTTCATGGCACATGACCTGCAAATTAACGTGCGGGTTTGCTTGTGTCACCCATTGTGGGGCTGGGTCGCTTCTTGCAAACTTCGCCCATCAGCTACTCATCAACTGTTGCGGTCTTCGTGTTATTCATTACATTATGCAAGGAGCAACGCTCGGACCGTTTCATGCGAGCGACTGGATCCGAAGGCTAAGCCTTTGCCGCTTCCCATGATTCCGATGTCATGAACGACGATTCCTCACCAGACACCAGCCGAAGGACGCTCGACACTGCTAGCTCGCTCGCCTCCCAGTTAACGTGCAAGCTCGGTGCTCCCAGAAGGGAGTGCTGCTGCCGCAGCCGCGTCTCACCTTCTTTAAAAAGCTGCGACATGCTGCGACCGTCGACCCTACTTCGCCCCTCTTCGCCTTTGCCACGAGAAGTCTCAGGAGCTCCGGAAGAAGGAAGAGGCGCTGGAGACTTTGGAGGCCACGTATGAAGATGCGCTCAGTTGAACACAAAGGGCTTGCGCTTCAGGACGAGGTGCAGTTTGAACGGCGAAGAAGCGTGGGCGGCGAGGTCTCAACTCCCTTACACGACAAGCCTCTGCGTCTCTCTCTCTGTCTCTCTCTCTCTCTGTCTCTCTCTCTCTGATGAGGCATTACTCAGGCGTTAGGCGTGACTGCTCATTTGTCCGAATTCCGGTTGAGGAAGCCCGTTGCTTTTCGCTTTGATGGCTTGCCGGAGGCGACTGCGGAGCCAGTAGAGTTCCGCATGGCTGACGAGGTCGGATGTGACGGACCATTGCAGAAATGGCACAATTTGCGAACAAAGCTTGTCGACACACCGCTGCGACGATGCCGACGCCAGGCCAGCCTCCGCCCTCGCAAAAGTTCCACCAATTCGGATCAGGTTCTCCACTCAGAATACATCAGGCTCCCCTCGCTAGTGTGTGATTATGTTCCTCAATAGTATACACAGTGTATGTGTAGATATATATATATATATATGTGTGTGTGTGTGTATATATATATATACACATACATTGACACATGTTATAGAGCTAGTGGCGACCCTGACCAGCCCTAGGAGCTCGATCCAGAGCTGAGCAGAGTGCACGGGCCTGAAAACATGCTCCAGAACAGTTGCCTGGTGAAGTGGTTTAGCAGAGGCCTCTGTAGCTCAAAGAGCCTCACGTTGCAGATCCGAGGCGTCCTGCCACGCTGTCCCGAGTGTCGGACGAGACTTCGGTGGTTCCACTCCCCGACGACCATCAGGACAAGACTAGGGGCCATCTGACATTTCTGGAAAATGAGGATGGGCATGTACTTGGGAGCTTCCGTGTGTTTGGGTCCTCAGTGTCCTCAGGGCCAGCCTCGACACCAGCACATGCACCTAGAACCGTTGCAGCGCAGCTCGACGTGGGAGGCTTGCCACCTGAAGATTTATACTCTTGGATCGTATATTCAGGAGGATGAGGAGGTCGAAGCAGATGAGATGTGGGATATGGTCCGGAGCTCGGCGAGACTGTGTGGCAAAACGCACTGTGGCCGAAACTGGGCCTGATTCGCCAGCAGCATCGTCTCAAGGTCATGCCAAAGCAAGTGTAAACAGCACTCCTTTTTCCGTCCTTGGCTTCCCAGCCGAAGGTAACAGGTAACTAAGCTGGGAAATGAGAAGTGCTGCGAAGGGATTGAATTGCAAGACTGAAGCTTTGCTGTCTGATCCGAAGGCGGTAGGGAGCAGCAATTCGAACTTTGCATTGAGCAGCTGACCGCTCCCGGTATCAGTGGAAGCCAAAATCACACTGCAGGGGCTATAAGGATTGCAACCAAAGGCAGCCGTGACTGCCGCGGTTTGGGAGGATCACTGGGGCCCGCTTGTTCTTGCAAGTTCCTCTTGAGCCGCGGGACGACATGAAGCGTCCTAAGGTTCGGAAGACCGCATGCACATCAGGTGCACATGCATCTAGGTGCACGCGTGCTTGAAGCCCACTTGCGACTCCCAGCGAAAAGGTGGAAACATACGTTCCCAATCAGTAGATGGTGGTCTGATGCAGATTGGGCGGCATAGGTCCGGCTAGTTACGAGGTGGCAACTTCACCTTCGCCGCGACACCTTGTTGATTTGTTTTAACTGTGTATTATGGTTCTCGTACATGGTCTCCACACAAAAGCCTTTCTGTTAACCACATGGCTCTTTGGCTGTCGACTGTATTGCGATTGTTCAGACAGTGTCGCTTATGAGCGGGCGACCCATCATGTAAGGACTGGACTGCTGTGACTGGGCGCACGGCCACAGGCCCCACCATCGTCTTCTTATGGTGGTATGACCCAATGATTGGACCATCTTGGACGCAATGTGTGTGTGTGTGTCAGGTGCTAGTGCTGCCCCTGCCGCCTCTCTGCTTCTTGCCATGCAGGGACTGAAACGTGTCCGTTGCGGAAAGGCGAGGTGTGTCCGTGGCGTCTCTTCACTCAGGCCCAACCATGACGCACAAGGAAAAGGCCTGCAAGTCGTGCATAGGTTGTCGTCGAAATAACCGAGCCCATAGGATTTCGGCGCTTCCCTCAAAGCGCGCATGTGAGCACAGGATATCCCGACTCCGAGCGGCTGCTGCAGCACAAGCTGGAGGAGGCCCGTGACATGCAGCTCAGTGACTGGCTGCTTGTTCAATGAATCGAGCAAGCATAGAAAGAGGCAAGAATGCCGAGGCTCCAACTCTGTTCTGTACAGCCTGCAGTATGCACTAATCACAACACATGCTTTCAATAGAGGTGGTTTCGTCTGGGAGCTCCTGTGGTCGTGACACGAGGTTTCCGGCACGGTGCAGCAAAGAGCATGCTTGCGCGACTTCCATGTGTTGTCTCGTGTGTTGAGAGTTTAAGGCTCCATAGAAAGGCTTTGATGTGCTATATGCCGTGGCATACACAGAGCATGGCCTCCGTGGATAGTGTTTGCCTGGCTGCAAGAGCCTTTCACAAGCTCTGCTGTCAGGAAATGGGCTGAAGCCGCTCGCATATGAGCGCTTTGCAGCTTGAGAGTCAGCACCCTTCTTTTGCACGGGGGCAGATCAATTTGTATCACGTGGGCCAATCCGAGAGGTCACTGCTAGATTCTAGACCGGTTAGGCTAGCGGAACCTTGGGTGGGGGGCATTTTCGTAAACTGCAGCCCGAAACGACGTCCCAATTGGCGGCACTGCGGAAGTAAGCAGAGCCTGCCTTGCGGGGCTTCGGTGCACCTCCAAGAAGCCCGGGAGGGAAGCAGAAGGCTGCTCTCCTCTTGGTGATTTTCCCTTGCCCAGTGCCGTGCAGCAATTCGCATGTTCCCATGTCGTGAAGCGCCTAAAGTTCTGGGAGCCCCTGCAGTTTGGTGCTTTGAACCCAGCCTGGCTTAGCCAGGATTTCGATGCCCATCGGTTGCGCATAGTTTCACGAAGCAGACGTCCAGCGTACAGTCCTGCCGAACACAAATTGGAAAAGAGGCCTGCTGGAAATCCATTGCCGCCGGGAGATTTTCTTCGGTTCTTCGATTGCATTATGTCAGTTCGCTCGCTCAACCTTTCTCATTAGAAGGTTCTTAGATGATAGAGGAATAAAAACAAGAATGAGCGACGCGAGAATGACAAAAGGACAGAGTGAATCAATCAAAACAACTGAGGCACGTGCTGTCCCTTGTCAATTTACTTTCATGCTTCCATTCACTCACTGTGCGCATTCATTACAGTACATGTGCGTCTATGATTGGTTGGGAACCAGCCTTATAGAAACTCAAAAGCACGACTCGCTCGATCACAGAACATACCTATGCGAAACCAGCCAGTATCGATTCAATTTGACGGAAATTCATGCTCTAGAGCTCCTCAGAGTTTGATATAACTTTTATTCGCCGTTTTCGCATCAGATGACGAAGGAATACCGAAAGAAGCGCGACGAGGCCCTGCGACAACACGTGTTAAAGCTTCGGTTGTGCAGCGCTGACCCGTCAACCCTGTGACTCTGCGGCCTCTTACCTCTCGAGGCCTTCAGCCAATTTTCTTGCTGCGGAAAAGGTAGTCCTGTTGTGCATGAGCTTCCTTGCTGGCTGCTCAGAACGCGGGATTGCGCAGTGGCACCGGAGCCTGAGTGGCCGCCCGGGGCTGCAACCTTTGCTGCGAGCTCAATAACTCTGCCGCTGCGCCGCACTGTTCTTGAACTCCCCGGACTACGACCTCCTGCTCTTTTACACGCTGAGCCTTGGTCGGTGTGTCACCGTGCACGTTGGCCTGGTGAACTAGGAGGGCTTGGCATTTGGTTTTCCTTCTTTTGGCAGCAATGGGCGAGAAGGCGGAGGACAGCTCCTCCGGGGCCTGGGCGAAGTGCCCTACCTGGGATGGCTCGCCCTTGACTTGGCGAGCTTTCAAGCGTGAGATGAGCTGGTGGACAAGTTCTTTGGACCTTGAAGGGACTCGGCGCTACAGCTTAGCAGCCCGCTTCTTGATGCGCCAGCCCGGGATAGTTCGCCAGCGTGGCGACGAATTCGCCCCGGAGGACTTGATGTACCAGAAGGAGGAGAAGGCCCGGGATCCCGAGACGGGCGAGGAGGTTGTCATCACCAAACGACAACTAACTTCTCCGGACTGAGGACGCAGTTTCACTTGCACCTGGCGCGGAAGCCGTCCGAGCGGGTGGCCGACTTTTCCTCGAGATTCCGGACGGCCGTCAGCGACCTCAAGAGCGAGGGGGTCGTCTTCCGGATGCTGTGGTGGGCTGGTTCTTCAAGGAGAAGCTGGGCTTGGACGGGCTGAGGCGGCAGCTTCTTGAGACGGCGCTTCAGCGCGCAGAGAGGGCTACGGCACGATCGAACGTGAGTGCCTTCGCCTCTTCCGCGACCTCCACCTGCAGGACCCTCTGTACCCGAAGCT